TATTACATGGCATATCTTTTTAGAGAAAAGGAGTTATTATTTATAAATTTAAATGGCTAATGTGATTTAATTATACTTGAAAATGAAATATAAATAATGGCACACAAATCTGATTCAGATATTATAATAAGTACTTGAAACCTAACACTGGCATTATTTATACTTTACATATATTACTAGCCTGCTGTATTTAAAAATAAAATCAGTCATCTATATTTTCAGAATACAATAAAGTTATTTTTAAATGACACCAAGTTATTTTCTGGCTTATAACTGATTTCTGCTAGGGTAAGGCATAAATAAAATTTATTTTTTACAGGTGACTGATTAGAACCATTTCTTTGTTATCACAACTGAGAAAATGGAGAAAATAACTAATAGTGTACAGCCATTCCTTGGTACACTTTGGGGATTGGTTCCAGGACTCGCTGAGTATACCAAAATCTGTGCAGTCTTGAGTTTCACAGTCAGCCCTGAGGAATCTGGTATATAAAAAGTTGGCCTTCGTATACATGGGTTTCACATCCCGAGAACACTGTATTTTCGATCCGCCTTCGATTGAAAAAGTGGACCAGTGCAGTTCAGATCCACGTTGAAGGGTCAATCATATAGTATATTTAAATACTGAGTTAAATATACCTAAATATTTGAATAAAATAGTTTGCATTTACTGAGTACTTACTTTGTGCTATAAGCAGTACTAAATGCTTCATCTACATCGCTTCCTTTACTCTTTATGGAAAGTCTATGAAGGGCTGGTGATAGCATGCCCAGGTGCGGACAAGGAAGCTGGTGCCGAATCACATACCTGCATCTGGGCATACAGGTATGCTCATTTAGCCTCTCTAGGCACCAGTCTCTCCTTTGGTAAAGTGGAATTAACACTCTCTTTCAGTTTGGATGTAAGTGGGATAGGGGACAACATATCAAAAGCATCTAAGATTGTGCTTGACAAAGTAGACACAGTATTAAGCCATTCTTCCTTTTAAATGCTGCCCTTCGAGGAAGAAGACAACAGAAACTAATTGGCTGGGTATAGATTAAGGAAGACACGTTGCAGATACCAGAAGTCATTTCTGACTGAAAGAATACAAATGAAACAGAATGGAAAACCCAGAAATGGTCCTCTCAAAATTAAATACTGACATCAACAGTATGTATTGATCTACTCTAAGACACAAAGACTGGATCTCACAGAAGCTTTTTAAAAACATCTTACTTTTCTCAGTCATTACAAGGGTAGTTTTCTTTTGCACTGAGAAATGCAATACGTGCAATAAAAGACAAATTCAGTCCCTATGGGATGATATTTTGATGTAAACGTTTATAGCCATCAATACTAAAAAAAAAACCTCCAAAATATTGCCCCCCAAAGATTTATATTACATTCTATAAATATAAGAGAATAATTAGCAATTAAGTACTAATATTTATTTTGTAGCAATCATGTGCCAGGCACAAGATATATATATATAAAATCTTTCTCTCTCTCTCTCTCTCTATATATATATATATATCTTATTTTATCTTAATAACCCTGTAAGGTAGAAATTATTATGATCTTGCTGCAGAAAAGTAAAGTGAGGGTGGAAGAAATTATTGCAACTACCCAAGATCACAAGTCTGATGTGTGGCTGCGCTAAGATTTGAACTGAGGTAGTCTGGCTCTGGAGCCCATCCTCTCCACCACCACGCTAAACTAACTGCCTATGCCGGAATGCAGAATGAAAAAACCCAGTGCTGGTGAGGCTGTGGTGAAACGGCTGTTGGTAGGGAGCCGCTACCTATCACTACAATCTTTTTCGACAGTAAGTGGTCAATATAGATTAAAATTTTGAACATGTATAGCTTTTGAATCAGCAATTATACATCGAGGGTATCTATGCTATAAAAATAAAAGCACACAAGCTGGGCGCAGTGGCTCACACCTGTAATCCTAGCACTTTAGAGGGCTGAGGCTGGAGGCTCACTTGAGCCAGGAGGTCAAGACCAGCCTGAGCAACATAGTGAGACCCTGTCTCTACATAAAAATAAAATAATTAGCCAGGCATGGTGGCACGTGCCTGTAGTCCCAGCAACTCAGGAAGCCGAGACAGGAGGATTGCTTGAGCCCAGGAGTTTGAGGTTGCAGTGAGGTATGATAATGCCACTGTATTCTAGCCTGGGCAACAGAGCAAAATTCTGTTTTAAAAAAAAAAAAGCACTAACATCTAGTGATTGATACACATGTGCAGCCATATACACACACATGGATGTTTATCTTGGTGCTCTTTTACTGGCAAGATACTGGAGATCATCTGAATATCTGTCAACTGGAAAAAATAAATTATGATGGGACATATTAAAACATGCCATCATATTAAGCAAAAAAGCATTTTTTTTCTTTTAAATGTATAGACTATATTCCAGAAGGGTGTATAACAGGCATCTCAAACTTCACCTATCTGAAACAAACCTCTTAATTTATACCTCCCTGTGGAGGAGCAGCTATTCTTCAACAGACTGCAGTAAATGGCACCACTATCCACCCAGTTGCTCAAGTCCAAAATCTATTTCCCCTCAGCTCCCACATTTAATCAATCAAGTTTGACTCAACCTCCAAAACATCAAGAATCTGCTCACTTTTCTTTGCCTCCAGTATCAACACCTCCTCTAAGCCACATTCAGGTCTCACCTGGGTTTCTAGTGTATTACTGTCACCTTCCCAAAATCTAGTCTCTATACCCAGCAGCTGCGGGAGACCAGAACATGCCACCCCCAAAAGGGAAGGATTGTTGAGCTGCAGGCGGTTAGGAAGAAGCAGATACAGGAAGCTCTCTGCCCCTCCTTTATTTGCCTAAAAGCAGGACACAGATTTAAAAAGACAAAAGGTGTTCTTACCATCACCACCAGGGAGAACACAGGTTAACCACTGTGGACAACTGTGGAGCCTTATCCTCTGGAGATGGTACCAGGGGAATCTATTATACATTAATGAGCTTTACTAACTCGCCTTCATCTGCCACTTATTTGCCTTCCCCCAAGTTGCCCCCGGCCCAGAGACAAAGTCCTTTCCCTTTATCTTGTCACTTCTCAAAAAATTTACTGTTTTTTGTTGTGGATGCCACATAAACTGGGATTTAAAGCCATCTCTTTGAGAACTACTCATGCTCTGGGCATCTCCCATGTATATATGAAATACACATGTTAATAAACTACTGTTCGTTTTTGCCTTGTTAATCTCTCTTTTGTTACAGGGGTCTGTTCCAACTAAGAACCTGTGAGGCGCGAAGAAAAAAAAATTATTTTTATTCTCCTAAACAGCCAGATGGATCATTTAAAACTGTATATCAGTGTACCTCATTTCCCTGTTTAAAAGCTTCTAGTGGCTTCCAATGCACACAGAATAAAATCCAAACTTGTTACTCTGACTTACAGAGCCTCTCTCTCCCTGTCTCAAAATTCCACCACTGTCCCGGCTTCTACTGTGCTTCCAGCCTCAGTCCTCAGACTCTCACTTGAGAGCTATTTCTGTCCCCTCTGCAGGGAAAGCTCCTCCACCTTAGTTTGGAACGTCTGGCTCTTTTTTTTTTTTTTTTGAGACAGAGTTTCACTCTTTTTGCCCAGGCTAGAGTGCCGTGGCGTCATCCTAGCTCACAGCAACCTCAAACTCCTGGGCTCAAGCAATCCTTCTGCCTCAGCCTCCTGAGTAGCTGGGACTACAGGCATGCGCCACCATGCCCGGCTAATTTTTTCTATATATTTTTAGTTGTCCGATTAATTTCTTTCTATTTTTAGTAGAGACGGGGTCTCGCTCTTGCTCAGGCTAGTCTCAAACTCCTGAGCTCAAACAATCCGCCCGCCTCGGCCTCCCGGAGTGCTAGGATTACAGGCGTGAGCCACCGCATCCGGCCTGGAACATCTGGCTCTTCCTCATCATTTTGATCTTGTTTAAATTTCACCGTGTCCAAAGGCCTTCCCTATGACCAAAGTGGTCACATTCCCTATTTTAATTCTCTGCAAGGCGCTGACCACAATATGCTAATTCTCTTGGTTTATTTATTTCTTGGTTAATTTGTTTATCTTTCTCTCCTCATTAGAATGTAATGTGAACCATGGCGGGGAGCCTTACCTGTTTTATTCACACCTATATCTCTAATACCCAAAATAGCGCCTGACATAAAATATGTACTCACTGAACACTGGCTGAGTGAATAAAAAGAATATGCATTGTATAATCAAAGTTTTATTAAAAGGGACACTATAAATAGCTATTTATTTTTGTTGTAAAAATAAAGAAAAGAGTATAGAAAGATACTAAATAGTAAACATCAACTTCCTGGGGAGGCAGGGAAATAAAAGTTAAGTTTTCTTCTAATAACTCCACATTGTTTAATTAGCAACAATAAGTACGTATTTCTTTTTGGAATTAAAAGATAATTCAATAAATAAAAACTGTGAAGGGAAGGAATATTCCCTTGGCTGGGGAGGCAAACAGATGACACAGCTTTTTTTTTTTTTTTTTTTTTTAACCTTTTCAGGGAAGAAAGAATACACAGCTTTATATCTATCTACTCTGAAGCAGCTATTAAGCAATCTTCTTGTACTAGTAATTTCTCCATTAATAGATGAAAGTAATTATTTAAAGACACATGTGAGAAGAGCTATTAAAGTATTTTGAAACCATAAAGAAAAGGGTACAATTCAGACATAAAAAAAGAATTTCCTAGTAAATTCTGAAATGCCCAATTAGGACAAAATTATATATCTAAAGGAAACCTTAAGCAACTTTGAGGAACATAATGCTCATGTGGTTAAGTTCTAGTATATTTGCTTAACATTGCTTTACATTACTTTATAATCGTACCTCAAATACTTCCTGTTTTAGTCAGGGAAATTCCCTCAATAAATTCTAGGAGTTTAAGAATACTGAATACCGAAAATCAAAAATGGCAGATTTGGGAAAAAAGATCATGACAAATCCATCTAATTCACTAAGAGCTAATTAGGGACATCCTTACCTCAACAGAAGACGGAGAACTCGATGGCAACGGGAATGGCGTAACAGCCATCTGATTGACTGCATCTTCGTTTCTGCAAAATGGTAAAATAGGCAGAATGAGTACACAGTAAATGCTACATTGTTGGCTCAAATGATAAATACCTACTTAGTTCTCGGTTGAAAATGCACACATAGTGTCATAGAATTAAATACATACACGTGCACGCACACACCTTCCAAGCGTGCAAAGCTATTAGGCACAAAAAGAGATGTATTACTCAGGGACGCTAAGATATAATTATTAGTGACAAAGAATGACGATGCTAGGAGTTAGTCAAATCCCACTTAGTAAGTCAGGTACTGCAGAGGATAATTCTGGAAATGCATCAACGTTTTCAGCACTGTGGAGCATAAATTTTTCAAATGGGCGTGTGCAAACCTAACCTCTAGGCCCCATTAATGTCTAGAGTGTTTTGTTCTTTGAACTGGAAAGGTTCCCAGCCTCTTCACTTGGCTTCTAACTTTGTTTTGCCAAATGAAGGCTGACAGGGTGTCTGCCACAGGCCCTGCAATGTGGGTCGAGGAGTGGTGATGGATGGGGAGAGCAGAGCTCCAGACAGACAGTGCTTTGTGGCTAAGGCGCATTCTCCTCCTCCTCATCCCAACGGAGTAGAATAGGTGGGAGTTGACACCTCATCCCCAGGGTGGCAGTCACACAACTCCTACAACACTGGTTCTGACTATTCGGGCCTATTTCTACCACATTGCTAGCAGATGGTAGGCAGTGGTCTGTGGGAGATAATGACTATCCTTTACTATTCATTCTTGATGCATGGCCAACACAATTATCTCAAGATTGATGTGAAGCGTGACTTTATGCTTCACAATATAAACCGAGGAAGCTCACAAAAATTATTCTTGCTGATATGCAAAGGTCTAAGTGTTCACAGATCTCCCTCCACGTGACCCGTGTATACAGAAGAGGCACTGTTGACTTGGGAGGGCTCTCAAAATTCAACCCCATTGTATATTCTATTTCTCACCAATTGGATAACAAGTCCATTGGTCCATGTCATTCCTGCTTTGGTGCTTTAGTCATATCACTGCTTTCACTTGAAATGCCTCTCTTTATTCAATTTATGCCTCACCCATCCTTCTCTAGGGTGAATTCAGTAACCTCAACTGAGTGAATTATTCCATTAAACTCAAAGACTATCTATATATGGATGTCTTCCAAATTCACATATTTAGTCCAAGCTAAACCAAAGCAAATTGGAGGAAACTAAAACTATAAAGTGACGTAGAACATGAAGAATATATCTATTCTTTCTGCAGCATTACAGGTGGCTTGAGCATGCACTATTATGTTAAGAGATAGCTATTGTTTTTCAGGGAGCACAATCTATCCCTCAGTAGTTTGCTCACACATAGAAAAAGTAATCGGTCACCCTGGGTAAGTAACAGCATTTCCCCAGTGGTAATTCCCTTTCCCATTCAGTTTCTCCCATCGAATAACACAACAGAGCTCAGTTCAGCTTAGGGCGGAAAGCCAATAGGACACGTCTGCTCCAGATTTGGAACTCATAGGGCAGAGTGTATTTGGCAGTAATCAAGTAGATGGCTCTTCATATCTCTTTCACAGGGTACCAGCATTAAAAATACGGCTGCATGTAAATTCTTATTGAGAGACCATGATTAACTAGACCAAGTTAGCTCAATTCAGTCAAGTTATCCCTTCACAATTTAATGATTTCCCCACATTAGTATGATTTAAATAGCCTTTAAAGTCCATATTAAATTTTTTGAACCCCACATAATAGAAAACCTATAATTACTCTCAATGAAAAGAAGAAAGTTGCTGCAAGAAGTTACAGTTCATAATCCTTTATAATCTACTTAATAGTGACTTTCACACACCTCAGCATCAAGTCTTGGAGAGCTGACATAGCAGCAATTTTAAAACCAAAAGTAGAAAGAGGGAAAATCAAAGGAGAGAAGGCATTTACACTTCAAACAAGCAGTTAGCCTGGATGACATCTGGGGAGCTTTGATCCCTATATCCTCTGAAATCTGTTTGCTTTATATTAATAATTAACCTTTCCTTTCCATATAATTAACACAGATTTTGTTTTCTTTTTTTAGAGATGGGGTCTTACTCTGTTGCCCAGGCTGACCTCCATCTCCTGGGCTCAAGCAATCCTCCTGAGTAGCTAGGACTACAGGCACTCGTCACCACGCCTGGCTAATTAACAATAAGCTTCTCAGGCTCCAGTGCCCCATACTGGACACAATCAGAAATTGTTATTGTTCATTGGTGGTTTTTTTTTTTTTTGAGACAGAGTCTCACTTTGTTGCCCTGGCTAGAGTGAGTGCCGTGGCGTCAACCTAGCTCACAGCAACCTCAAACTCCTGGGCTCAAGCAATCCTACTGCCTCAGCCTCTCAAGTAGTTGGGACTACAGGCATGTGCCACCATGCCCGGCTAATTTTTTCTATATATTTTTAACTGTCCAATTAATTTCTTTCTATTTTTGGTAGAGACGGGGTCTCGCTCTTGCCCAGGCTGGTCTCGAACTCCTGAGCTCAAACAATCCGCCCGCCTCGGCCTCCCAGAGTGCTAGGATTATAGGCGTGAGCCACCGCGCCCGGCCTTCCATTGGTGCTTTTATAATTTCTTTGAGAGCTGTTGGGAGAGAGATAATGGAGTCCTACCACGGATAACAGTGAGAACCTTTTTCCAGGGCACAGGATCCTGTGTGTGTATGTCCTTTTTGCTGTACATGTCATGCTCAGTTATTAATGAAATCATTTGTGCTGGTCTCTCTCCATCTCCAAGCACAGGGAAGGGACCTTATTTCTTCATATCCCCAGCTTGAAGCAGGGTACCTGGCACAGAGCAGGTGTACTATAAATGTCTGTTGAATGAAAGTGATCTTAATAAGGCAGGAAAAAGCAAGCAGAACTATCAAACTGTGCCCTGTGCTTTCCGAGCGCCTTCAACCAGTTAATGACAGTGTCCTTCCTGTAGCCAAGCAGCTCTCAGTATTTACCACGTGTAAGGGACATTTCTTGGGGTGGCCCAGCTCACAGGGATTCCATGGATGGGCCGTAACACCTACACTAGGTAACTAATAGCTCTGCCTCAACTTGACTGTGTGTAGAGGGCAGACACCCACTTCAGTGTGGGCCAGTCAAATTCTCTCTCCCAGGGACTCGAAATCTAGAACAGACACATAAAGATAAGGAGTGTACTGTCAAGACACAACCAATGGAAATGTTGAAGGCTAAATAGGGGACTCGAACTCCCTTCTGCTAACATCTCTAGAGTCGCCGTGTTCCTTCTCTTCTGAGTCTTAGCTGTATGGCTCTTTTCTAAAGAGTCCATCAGACATTTCTACATTCCTTTTTTTTTGTTCGTTTTGGAGACAGGCTCTCTCTTGCTCTGTCACCCAGGCTGGAGTACAGCAGTGAGACCATAGCTCACAGCAACCTCAAACTCCTGGGCTCAAGCGATCCTCCCACCTCAGGCTCCAAGTAGCAGGGACTATAGGCACGCACCACCACACCCAGATAATTTTTCTATTTCTTGCTGTCTTGCTCAGGCTGGTCTTGAACTCCCGAGCTCAAGTAATCCTCCCACCTCGGCCTCCCAAAGCGCTGGGATTAGAGGTGTGAGCCACCAGAACCAGCTTACATTCTTTTTTTTTTTTTTTTGATATGTTATATCTGTACATATTTATGGGGTACATGGGAAATTTTGTTAAATGTGTAGAATGTGTAATGATCAAGTCAAGGTATTTAGGATATCAGTCATCCAAGTATTGATCATTTCTATGCCTTGGATACATTTCAAGTCCTCTCTTCTGGCTATTTTGAAATATCTAATAATATATTGTTGTTAACTATAGTCACCCTACTCTGCTATCAAACATTATTCCTTCTATCTAACTGTATGTTTGTACCTATCAACCAACCTCTCTTCATCCTCCCCACCCCTAAACACCCTTCCCAGCCCCTGGTATCTCTGGCATCACTCTCCAACTCCATGTGATCAAATTTTTTTGTTCCCACACGAGTGAGAACATGAAATATTCATCTTCCTGTGTCTGGCTTGTTTTACTTAACATAATGACCTCTAGTTCCATTCATGTTCCTGAAAATGACATGATTTCATTCTTTTTTTTATGGCCAAATAGTATTCCATTGTATATATACACCACATTTTCTTTATCTATTCATCCACTGATGGACACTAAGGTTCATTCCATATCTTGGCTGTTGTGAATAGTGAGTGCTGCAATAAACACAGGAGTATATGTGTCCCTTTGACATATTGATTTCATTTTCCTTGGATATATACCCAGAAGTGGGATTCCTGGATTGAATGTTTGTTCTATTTTTAGTTTTTTGAGAAATCTCCATATTGTTTTCTTTTTTTTTTTTTTTTTATTATTCAGTCCCCATAGGGATCATCAAAAATTGCCAGTGCTGACTATACTGCAAGTCATCATGGCGGGGTATCGGCAAAAGTTTTCAATTAGCAATAATCGCACCTTGGATAAACCTCATTGGCTACAATACTGCCACTGCGCAAAGCTCCATACTGTTTTCTGTAGTGGCTGTGGTAACTCACATTCCTACCAACAGTGTATGAGAGTTCCCTTTTCTCTTACATCTTGTGAATATCTGTTATTTTTTTGTCTTTTTAATAATAGCCATTCTGACTGGGTAAGATGATATCTCCTTGTGGTGTTGATTTGCCTTTCCCTGATGATCAGTGATGTTGAGCATTTTTTCATATATCTGCTGGCCATTTGCAAGTCTTCTTTTGAGAAATGTCTATTCAGGTCCTTTACTCATTTTTTAATGGGATTATTTGTTCTTTTACTATTGAGTTGTTTTAGTTTTTCTCCACAGGATGCTAAGAATACCTCCAATTTAGTTTCTTGTTTGTAAAACATATATATATTATGGCGAACACATTTTAGATCCTGATTTCAATTATGATTTGTTATAAAAATACACTCATATTGGTAAAATGCACAAAACTTGTGTTAGGCAGGATGCTAAGAAGGCTCCCAAGACTCATGCCC